AGTCTTGTGTGGTTATGGCCCAATCATTTGGAGGGAATTTGTTCCCCCTTTTTTCACTTTTTAAATTTCTTTTTTTTTTTTATGGTTTCTCAAAACCAAAAGTAAAATAAAATTAGGATTCTCTCTATGTCTTCTTCTTCCTCCACCAACAATCAAAAGTGACAAAGATCAAATCTTAATTATTTTTTTTCGTATAAAAAAGTATTTTTGTATATATTTATTTGAGAAATTTCAAACCACTTTTCAAGTGTCACTTTACAAAAATATCACACTTTTGAAATCTTTACAAAAAAACCACTTTTTCAAAATTATTTTTTCTTTATATTATTTATGTTTTGAGTCAATTATGTTCTATTAAGATTTACTTTTGAGTGTCTAGGGGGTTTTAGGTGTCAAAATATTTTTTAGGATTTAGAATTCTAAGATATAGGTTTTATAAATCTAGAATTAGTGGCACTTTTGTAAATGGACACTCCTAAGTGGCATTCTTGCAAATGTGCACACAAAAAGTGGTATTTTTGTAATTGTCCCTTTTTTTTGTTTTTAAGTCGAAATTTTTTAAAGAATACTTTATCTATTTCAAAATATAGTTTGTTTTACCTCAAAGTACGAGTATTAAAAAATACTAATTGTCACATAATATTCAATAAAATTAAAAAGTAAATAGGATTGTCATAATTTTGACCCAAAAAAAAAGGAAAGTCATAACATCTTGTATTTTAAAAAAAAAACATGTGGAGTATATATATCAATTCGTATGGTTTTTCTATAAATAACATCAAACATTAAGTATGTATGAAATAAAAATAAAATTAACCGGTGTAAACTAATCATCTGTCTAATAAAGAGATTTTAAATTTGATCCATGCATAAGAAAATTGTTTATTATTCGAAGACTGCATTGTTGGACTACCATTCTTAAAACTTTATTAGAGTAATATTTATGTTGTTATCATTTGGATAACACTCGTAGTGTATCAAATGGCTTTTGCTCTACTAGTCTTCTCATAAGAAGAACTTCTTAGTTTTAGTCGGCTTAAAAGAAAGAAGTATTTACAAATAATATAGACTCAAGACCAATTTCGAACTCATATAAATTAATGTCTAGGTTTGAATTTCGAACATTTTTTGGTTTCGAACAGAGAAAAATAATCACTGATAAAAATCCTCCAAATGCAGTTAATTTGAGTCTT